CACGGAAATGGGTGGTAGTCTGTAGTTCCTCTCCGCCCTTTCCCGTTTCTTGCGATTTCCCGATTACGGCTAAACATCTCGTATCCCGGATGTGCCGTCGATGACGACTGCGCATATTTGTTACTCCTCGTGTCTCTGCTGCTGCTGCTGCTGCTGCTGCTGTTACCGAAGGCATGGCTCTAGCCTGCTGTCGGACCTGGACCTGTTCGACCAGCCGGCATCGTCGGCGCTGACGTTTCTGCGAATTTTCACCGCGAGGTCCTTCATGCTGGACGTCGAGGAGATCTACGGTGGCAGACCTGTGAGACCACATGCTAGGAAATATACCCGTAGGAGGCGGACATATACTATGGCAACTCCCCTGGACCGACCGACGTTCAAAGCTCGCTTTCTCCACAACCATGATTGTCTGTACCGTACCGTATACCGTACCGTGGTATTACCGTAAGAGGCGGAGAGATCCTCCCCCCCCCCTTGACAGACTTTCAAAGCTCGATTGTTCCACAGCCAAGGGGGTGCGGCAAGAGCCCGACAATTCAACGGAAATCCCACGACGAGATGTTTCCAGACCCACAGCTTTTGGTGTTGGCATCATCTTGGTTGTGGAGCAGTCGAGCCTTGAAAATCGGTCTAGGGGGGGTGCCATCTCTCCGCCTCTTACGGAATACCACGGTACGGACAGACAAGCTTGGTTGTGGAGCAGTCGGGCTTTGAATATCAGGCTCGCACTTTCCTTTTCTTGCCGTGACGGTAGGCACGTTCAACGGCTTGTTGTACGGGAAGAGAGCTCTTGTTCGCGCTCTGCTTCGCTTGCACTCACTTTCTGTACATGTTATAGATAACTGCTACGGTGTCATGTGTTCCATGTGTATACATGTAGGTTTTTTGCTGAACAGAAAATGGGGCGTTCATGCCATCAACACAAACTATTTTCGGCGTAACGGGAGCGGCAGACATTCGACGCTCCTTGTCCACCTGTCGCTGCAAGCAGCGTCGCCTGTGAGACACCCGCCCCTGCTGTCATTGTTGTTGTTGTCTTCACATTAACAACCGTTCCGTTCTCTCTGCCCAGTACCTTCTTCTGCCCGTACTAGTCGATTCCCGTGGTTGCAGGCTAACTTACCCAAAAAAGGTATCCGGAAATAAAATAGACCCGTCATTGGTCGACGAATAAACACCTGCTCTTGCCACCGCCGTCGATGGTTCCAACGCTTTGAGCCAAGAATCCACATTTGTTCAACTTCTGTTGCTCAACGGCCGAAAAAGCTGTGCTCCTCCTGTCCCCCGCCGCCCCCTTCTTTTTAGAATCTATACATGCAATCACGGAAGGGAATTGATCCGTTTGAGATACAACCACAGTCGAAGGGGATGAGTTGAATGAAGTCTTTACAGGGAGTGAACGGGATAAACCCCGGCTGGATTCTGGGCTTGTTTCGAGTCGACGTTCGCCTATGCACTGTTTTTTAAATTTTTTTCTTGTTCGACTTATGCTCGGCGAAATGCGTTGCCGGCAACCAGCGTGTTTGTACTGAATGGAAAAAAAACGGCTGGATACCGGGCTTTTTTCGAGTCTATTTTCGCCTAAACACTTACGAGTAGTTCTTAACTCCTTTCCTTCTTTGACTTTGTGTTTGGCGAACGGTGCTGCCGACGACAACGCAACCAGGACGTCGAACTGATGGTGCTCTCGTATGGAGTGATCATGTTCATCTTCCTGCTCGCCCTGGTCCCTGCCGTGGCCACGCACAACTTCAACAGCCAGTCCAAGAAGAGGCAAGCGAGAGAGTGATGACGTCATGACGCGCTATTTAGCTAACAAATCTACGACTTTGCGTCGTCCTTGAGGGTTGTAAATTCAAAATGTTGTCAATTTGTGACACATTTCAACACATTTGTTAGTCATGTTCGTTTTTGGTCAATTTGTGACACGTTGTAGCGCGTTCGTTATTGATGTTCGCTTTATTCATATGTTGGCGAGTTTCTTACAGGGAGATTGGAACGCGGTGCGCTCACGTGCCACCATATGCATTGCGTGCGTGATCTCTGTTTGGGGTACTTCGAACGCCGTATGATTTTTTCCTGCGTGGCAATGCACGATGTGGTCAACAACGATCGTGTGTGTGTGTGTGTCTCTCTCTCTTCGTCGTTCATTGGTGTGTGAATGATTTGGCTCCTTCTGCAGGTGTATGGGCGAAAGAGTTAGAGGTACAATTTTTTCCAGTTTCCAAACTATTTTTTCTATTATTTGTCTAGTGTTCTTTTCTCTTTGATTTGCTTCTCGTTTCACCCGTACCCAGCCTCTTTTAGCCCCCCCCCCAGCATATCCCCCCCCCGGTGTTTGCCATCGGGATTGGGTTTTCGTCGCTTAGCGACGACGTTGTAAAACAAGCCAATTCGCTTCGTGAACTCGGCATCCAGGTTACCGTTTTCTTTTTTACCTCTGTTTTTTTTTTTTTGCGGTAACCATGATGGTGGTCGAGTAGATCATGTTGTGCGGGGTGGAGAACCCTCACTCCGCGCAAGGGGGATGATCGCACCACGTTGTGTTAAAATGGTCAAGCATCCTCGAGGCAGCTACACAGCGCTTACAACTGTCTCTGGAAGTGAAAGCACCAGAAAATAAAATTAACTCATTCATCCGTACGCAAGGAAGTAAGCACAATATGCCGAACACCCTTAGCAGGATGCAGCGCACCCTTCATGCGACTCGCCGAATACCTCACGGCGCTTCGCGCTTGGTGATGTGAGAGCCTGGTCCGGTCAGAACCCGGCGTGCTCCGTCCCGGCTTTGTAGGGATGCGAGGTCAATGGTCTAACGACTACGGCATGCACGACTATGAGTACTACGAGTACAACCCCCCCCCCAGCAAATCGTTTGTTCCACCAATTGCAAACTGGCAAATTTGGAAGGAACGATTGGCCATCGGTGGTCGGTCCAGTGGGAAATTTGGTCCGTCCTCTCGAGGACGCCTGGTCTAACCGCTACGGCATGCAAAACATGAGTATACCCCCCCCCCCGGGTTAACCGCAACATAAGGCATGAAAAACATGAGAGTAACCCCCCCCCCTGGCAAACCTGTTTCCTGACCCCCTAAAACTTTGCCAACAGTTACTACTGGGTGAAGGAGCAGCGGAAGCTGGCCTTGACTCGAGCGTACATGCTGCTGAGACACCGCGACGGGACCCTGCCAAGAGATGACTACGTGCAGCTCATGATGTGCCTGCGTCCGGACTGCGACAAGGATCACGTGAGTTGGTTGCTGAACAATAATCCTCTCAACAACCGTGTGACGTTCGTTCTGAGGGCCCGGGTCTTGGTAACCCCTTAAGTGTCAGGAGATAACGTCGTCGCTATTCGGGGCCGGGTGGCTATGATAGCGGCCATCACTGTAGTGGGGTTGACTGTAGCGGGGGTGCAGTGGTGCCACGCCATGATTCTGTGGTCGCTACATGCAGGGGCATGCCTCTAAACAGGGGGTCGCTCAACTGGGCCTACAACCGTAGATAGTTCTAGGAAGATTTGCTGCTGTGGGCACAAACCAGGGGCCACCCACGTCACCCGGGCGTCAAGATTTTTTTTTATTATTTTGTTGCGTGGTGGAGGTTCAAGTGGAGAGGCGGCTGGATCATCGGCGTGATGCATGTAGCTGGGATTGAGTTTTCAACGGCCAGATGAAAGGCGTGGTGGGCACCGTGCATTCCGTCCGTGATGACACCGCACTGCTGTTTACGGTGCATTGGTGGCGTGTCCATCTATGTTGCCCGGGATGCCGCTACGTAGCCCATGTCGCCCAACTCATGGCGTGCCTACCTCGAGACTGCCACAAACCGGGAGCACACGATACGCATCCAAAAACGAACCGGAGATAGCCCGCATGTTCACAGTGTGTATCGTCTAAATAATTTCTTGTGGACGCCGGGTTGTTTTAGACCTGTTCGGTACCACATTTCTGGTTGTGTCAGCCAGGGTTGCTTGCACGCGGGAGAAAGGTTGCACGGCAGTGTTGCTTGCTGTTTTGTTCAAACTATCTTCCTTCTGCGGTGCTTTGCTCATTTCTTTTCGCGAGAAGGATTCAACGAGCGCCCCTTCGGTCCACAGCAGTAACGTCCACTATACACCCCACGAGCGTAAAGTCATACGAATATCATTTTTGCCGTTCTCTGGTCGCCTCGATTCCCATCATCGTGCATCCGTACAACCGCCGGAAGATGAATCCAGCAAAGTTCCACCATACACGCAAGACGTATTTTTTTCAAAAATGATGTAACGTTGTCGTACGCCCTCTGGATGGCCACGAACAGACTTCGGCACTGTTCAGCGCGGCCAAGAAGGCGGAAGAACAGCAATCGAACTCCGTCGCCGCCGTCGAAGACGATCGCAACCTTCTATCCAAGACTGGCTTCTTCATGCTCTGTGCCCTTGGCACGGCCGACATATCACGGGTATGCCTACTTTCCCGTGCTACATATCAGCTCTTACTGCACAGGATCCTACTGAACACGTTTGAAACGCTTGGTTAACGTTGGCATTGTCCTTCGAAATTAGAATGATTCGGAATAATTGTTATCTCACGGGTATGCCTGCTTTCCCGTGCTACATTTAGGCTTTTTTCTGAATTGGATCCTACACGTTTGAAATTCTTGGATAACGTTGATATTGTCTTTCGAAATTAGAGTGATTCGGAGTAATTGTTACGCAGTGTTATCTTCTCTCGAATACATGTTGTAGTTGACCATGTGGATTGTCAGGAGTGATTTTCTGATGGTTTACTCTATTGAATCTACTCACAGAGTACTGTACGGTGCTGGTATTGTTCTCTTTGCTTGCTCTCTTGCAAAATTTCTCATATTTGACCTGCAAAGTTACCGTAGGTTGTAGGAGTTCAAACCAGCCAGACGATCGTCTACGATCCCTCCTCTCGACGAAGCTCGACCCTCAGGCTTTCTTGATTGATTTCACGGCTATTTTGCTTCGGTTTCGTTGTTTAGGTTTCCCTACCCCTTTGCACTTAAGATACATGGGCGCACCTTGTTTGGCTGCTACGCCGTGCTTCGCTTGCCCTTGCGATCGTCCCTGGCGATAACTGCATATTCACTACTGTCATGCCAACCATATGCCTTCATTTGTTGAGCCTCTTGCCGTTGGTTCACCAGTTCCACAGTTTGCAGAGTTCGATTTGTCGTGTCCGAGCTGTCCCAGGGTCCCAGGTATACGTCATCTGCGTTGTTTTATTCAATCCGATGCTGTGCTTTCGAAGAGGCCAAATGAACGCTCGTAGTGTATCTGCTCGTTCGATGCATTCCACTTCTTTTGCTATACCTGACCTTATTCCGTCATGGACCTTGTGCACGTCCAATGTCACGCTTTCGAAGAGACAGCACGAACACATGAAACGCATCGGCTCGTCCCAAAGTATCTGCTTTGCCTTTTTCAGTAATTCTGACCTTGCGCGCTTCCTCTGCCGTGCCCCCGAAGACGCAAAACGAACGCATGAAAATGTACCGCCGGAGCCGCCGGAGAAAGTCCGGAAGGAAGTGGGCGCGAGCTCGAGCTCGACTCGATGGTCAGTTTTTTGTTTTTTTTCCGCGTGCCAAGCGTGATCGTATTCCGTTTTGGGTTTGCTTTAGCTTACAATTTGACGGTGCCAGGGTATTTAGTGGTGGCGCGTTCTGTTGTCGCCGTTGGGTTGTCCATGCAGCCTGAATTTCTGAACTGCCAGATTTTCAAGTGCAGCAGGCGCGTTCTGCAATTATCTGTCCCACGGACGAAAGCAACGAACGAAGCGAGTCTCAGACGAAATAATAAGAGGTTTCTTGAGAGCGGGTTTCTTCCGCACAACAGCAGGGGAGGATAAACATCCATTCCGTTCGATTGCTCGGCACCGCTCTTCCTTAGCGAAGATGATGCTCATTCCCCTCGATTCTCTGTAACCGGGTGGGTGCCAGACTGAACGGTATGCCGTGCATCGTTTGGAATGCAGTCTGGTATCAAAAATCGGGTGTACTCTGTATGTGGTAGCTGTCTTTGGTTCGGCCGCCTTTTGTTGCAGACCGAAAATCAGCGATCAAGGTAACCCCGGTGGGGCTTTCGCCGCCCCTTCGCGGCACTTGCGGTCGTACTCAAGTAATTGTGGTTGTTGTTGTTGTTAATTGTCTTGGCATTCCAATCCATTCTGGTCTCTGCTCTGTACCCTTTAACATCCGTATCAGTCCAACTTTCGCCATGTCTTCCGTAATCACAGGGGATAGATATCAGGAGAACGTTTACTTGTTGCCGCTTTTCTTGTCATGTCTGCGTTAAGACCGTTTCCGAGATCGAAGTTAATCTTGCACTACTCTCGTCGTTACCTATGCGAAAGACATGGGGCAGAATATTACGTTCTGATTCTACACGCTCGGGCGGTCTCTGTTTGTCCCGCCCTGCTGACGCATCTGCTGCCACTGGTCCTGCTGCCGTCGTTGTTGCGATGGCGGTGCGATATCTTTGGCGTCGTCCACTGCCCCTTCGCGTGCTTTCGTCGCCAGCCGCGTTGTCCTGGAGCTGGCCAGGCAGCAACTTGCCTTTGAGCCAGCAGGTGCTAAACGTGGCCCTATTGATCCAAGGTATGTTTTTGCTTTTCTGGTGATAACCGCAGGGAATCACCAGCAAAGGCCCTCTAGAGTTGGCTGTATTTTTTCTTCTGCTGGGCGAGAGGTCCGTTGTCGTATGCCTGGGAATGAGGATAAACCGTGATTTTTTCAACAAGAGCAAGTGAGCCCGCACTTTCCTTCACTAACAATCCTCGTGACTTGAAGGCAGGCAACACCCCGCCAAGTGGGCGAGAGCTCGACGGGTATACCAAACATTGTAGAGAAAGGCATGGCGCTGTTGACGGCACATCGCATGCCCGGCCGTGTCAATAGGACGAAACGGCTCAGGAAAACCGCGCACCTGCTCCTCCCTCCTCCCTAATAAAGTATTTCCTAACCTACCCCCCTTTCTCGCCGTTTGCCAGGGTATCAGATTGTGCGAGCGGGAGACAATCCCGAGGGAAGGCCGGCTTGGGCATACCCCCTCGGGGCCGTCCTGATTTTTTACTTCTGCCTCCAGGCGGCCTTGAGGATGATCGCTGGTGGGGTTCGTCCGTACTTCTTGGAGTGGCGGTGAGAGAGGGCCTCTCTTTCTCTCTCCTCTCTCTCTGTCTCTCTGTCTCTCTGTCTCTTTCTCTCTGTCTGTCTGTCTCGTTCTCTCTCCTCTCTCTCTGTCTCTCTGTCTCTCTTTCTCTCTGTCTTTCTCTCTCTCTCTATCTCTCTCTCTCTCTCTCTCTCTCTCTCTATCTCTTGCTGTCTCTGTCTCTATCTCAGGATGTCTCATGCCGTCTCAAGATATCTCATACTGTCTCAAGAGTTCGTGGATTATTTCCAACCTCGAGGAGACACGAGACGTCTTGTCTTCTTTCTGCCATGCTCGCCGGTTCCGATTATTGTTGGCGTCCTCTCCTCACGATCGATGCTAGGGGTGTTCGGCCGCTCTTCTTGTCGTGGCGATTAGAAGGCTAGGCTAAACCTATCACACCGCCGCCGTATTCTTATTGAGAAATGTAAAACCTCCGGCCCCCTTGTACACTTGCTCCGTTTGTGACGTGTTGTGCTACGCAATCATGGCATTCTCAGTACCCGCAATCGCATTTTCGCAGTGAACGTCTGACCATGTTTCGGTGCATGACCACGCGATGAGGAGCTACGAGTGGAACCTGGCGATTCTTGGGGTTGGTTCTTTTCCGGCGCTATCGTTTGCATGTTACGCCCTTTTCATTGTTGTTGTGTTGCTGATTGCTGCTTCTTTGTTGTGTTCTCGCCGTCATGCTGCGCTCTGTTCTTGTGTATGTTGCTGACTTTTGCTGCTTTGGTTGTCTTCCCCGCCGTGTTGCCGTACCGTCTTCGATACCGACACCGTGGTTTGCCTGAACGCCTGGGCCCTGCCGAACCAAAAAACGAAATTTCTATCGAAGGAATATCCTCGAGATGTCGCTCAATATGGTCGGAATCGCGTACTACGCCCAACTTTGGCCACGAGGGCAGGCGTTTCATAGCTTCTATCAAATACTCCAGGTGAGTGGCGATGCGGGGGAACTACTGGAAATGTCTGCATGTTTGGTCCCTTTTTCCACGTTTGGAAACGCGATATCTCAGAAACTGAGGCCATCTCGGAGAATGGGTGCTGGGCGAGGGGTTGGTGCTTGGCGTTTTGGCCAATCTGCACGAGGTGAACCCAATTTTGACCACACCTTGCTAGAACGTGGGGGACGGACGAACGCAACACCGAGGTTGCGAAGACACCGAGGCAGCATCTATATCATCCGCATCACATTCTCAACCTCAATGGCCACACAGAAACCACCCTGCCCAACCGAATAGGGGCAGGCTTGTTGAGGTCGAAGGCAACAAAACTGATGTGTATTGAAATAATTGGATTCTGCCGTGGAGTTTGTATTGGGGTACACGGGAACGTATTGCATGCTGCGGCCCCCCTCAAGTCGACTTTAGCAGCACAGGGCACGTTGGTTGAGCATGCCTGGAGTGTGCTGGTGCTGATGGCTAGACGCAGAAGACAGGCACCGTCAGGTATCACCCTGAGGTGTCCGGCTAGGTATCGTGTCGTTTTAGGCTGTATACAGCAAGATGACGCGATAGTCATGTGATTCTCCAACCGGTTCCCCTGTTTATCCTGCAGGCATTAAGACTCGAGCTCTTGTGGATCAACCTTCACCTTCTAGGACCTACCAGCTCAGGTGAGATAACGTCCGTGAACACCGAAGAGTGTAAGATGGGGCAAAGTGTAATTCGTGTGGTGCAGCGGGACAACTAGAGACGCTTCAAGACAAATGGAGATGAGAGGAAGGGCGGTGGAGTTCCAGAAGAGTTTTCATGGCGCCTCCATCACGGGCTCTCAAGCTTGAAACCCTTCGTCCCACGTGTACATACTTTTTCTCGGCAGCGTTGTTGATGGGTGACCCCGCGTGAACAGCTTGGTGCTATATAGTGGCCACTCCTTTTGACTTGCCCCTGTCTTACCCTCCTATCTGTCCCCCGCGTCCTCCGTCCTCTGGACACATGATCAATGTTCTAGCAACAATGGCATGCGAAACAGTAGAGTACCCCCCCCACACACACACACACGCGCGCCACCGCCTAATGCCGACGCAGACGTCGCGACCCGACTCGAGTTTGTCTTTCCGGCTGTAATACGGGCATCCTTCGTGCTCTTCGCCCTCACCTACACCTACGCGGTCGTCGCGTACGCCATGTACTGCTCGACACCACTGGGAGGGGAACCCATCGGGGACTTGAAAGACGACAGCATGGTCAAGAGGTGAGCGGGCGATGGGAAGCCCTGCCGTTTGTGGGGCCATGGCGGTGAACCCGGCAGCGTGGTCAATGTAGTAGCAACATCGTACGTCTCTCTATGCCGATATGGATTGATATGCGTCATATAAGTACATTTTTCGCTCGAGAGACACTGAAAATCGTTCTTTATGGCGCCTGTTGGTTGATGTCAGTATGAAATGGTTTTGCAGAGGTGTGTGAGACCGCTTGGAAGCATGTATCACATGTTGTGTACATCATATTTCAGATAGCTTAGTGGTTCAGGACAGCTCGTTCAGTGATGAGAATCGCGTTGACAGGCCGTATCGTCTGTTGTCATTGACGGGTCACGGGGTTATAGCACGATGCAGGGATGGGAACTCGGGACAATGGTGCCATAGGCTCTTTCGTTGTCTCTCGTCGTTGTTGTGTAGGTATGTAAACGGCTGACGATAACACGGTGCAGGGATGATACCTAGGCACAATGGTGCCATAGGCTCTTTCGTTGTCTGTTGTCGTTGTCGTGTACCAGGTAGGTAATAGACGGCGGACGGCAACACCCTCCCTGGCAGCACATGGTGTTTCGTGCTCAACTTCGGTACCGTCCTTTTTCGCCACAATGAAACGGTTAAACCCACGGAACGCCCATCTACCCAGCACACTTACGGAACAACGAAGTGCTGAATGCATGACCCCCGCCTACACAAAACCAATGCCCTAAATAAACACTTAATGGTTAAGTGCCTCCTCGAATCCCACGTGTCCGAATGACAGGTTTGCAGCCGTGAAGGAAGTCGCGAACTTCGCCACCTTGCCGCGGTCCTACGCGTCCATGATGTACGTCGTGATGTTCAGCAACTGGCCCATGTTCATGGACGCGGCCGGAGTGGTGGGCAACTTGGTGGTGGCCAAGGTGTTCTTCTACTCATTCAAAGCCATCGGCTTCTACTTCGTCATGCCGGTGAGCCCGGGAGCGTCAAAGCCACTCGTTGCAAATCTCCAGCCACACGCGCTTGTTGCTTTTGTTGTTGTTGTTGTTGCTGCTGCACTCATGTTGTGCGGTTACATTTTGTGCGGTTACAGGTTGAATACTCTGTGAATAGACGCTCGATTGGTTCATTTTACTGGAAACGTTGCTGGGGGGTTTCCATCACGTGTCGTGACGTTCTTCTGTTCCAGTTGCTGCTCGCGTTGTTGCGACGTTCGCAGATGAAATCAATGCGTTGCGCGCGCTGCACGGGTCAGCCGTGGCAGGACGACGCCTGAACCCCCCCAGACCGTTCCATTCGATCTGTGCCAAGTTCTACATTACTCGTATCAGCACCTCTCCTTCACTAGATATCATTTTGGAGACGTGACGGAGGCAAGTATTCTCGCAGAATCGCTCCCGGCATGAGAATAACATCGGCCCCGCGAGAGGCCTTCGCTGCGCGTTGCTGTGGTACATGCTACCGAGTTGCAGTGACAATAGCTTGATCGGCTCATTTCGTCCCAGGTACTCCTCGGGTTTATCGTCACGAGCTACATGAACGCCCACGTGCCCACCGTCGAAGACCCCCCCAAACCACCGGCGGCGGCGAGGAAATCGCTCCCCCCACGGCAAGCAAGCAGCAGCCGCAGCCCTCTCATCGGCAGCAAGGGGACCCCACCGAATCGTGGAGCAGGAGGCGGGCGGGGGGGGGCGGCTGGCGACGAGGAGAAGGCTTCTCCTTTGGTGCGATTTCGCAAGGGCCTTCAGAGGCGGTCTAGCTTCGGCGACGAGCCCACTAGGTAGGGGTGCAAGCGGTGAAGATGTGTCTTTCATCGATCGAAGCGAAGAGACTCTCTTTTGCTCGGTGCTTGAAGGCGGGGTAATACCGAAGAAATTGAGTCCAATTTTTTTTCCGAAATGTTGGGCAGAAAATTTCACGTCCTTTTCTCAACACGACCAACATTACATGCCCAGATAATACACCTGCCGTGCCGAAAATGCTATGTCTGTGCCCTTAAGTAGATCGAAGGACCGCGGCAAGTTTGGCTACTCGACCCTGGCCGACGGCGCGCACACGGAGATCGACGTGGCCGCCTTAGCGGTGCCGAGGGGGAGCCAAGAAGCTCTGGCAGAGCTCGGGCAAGGCGAGGGCGACTACGACGAGGTCGAAGACGAAGACCCGTCGGCCGAAGGTCGGGACAGGGAGGATCAAGAGGACGAAAACAGCGGTGGCGGCGATGGCGACGATGAGGTCGAAGACGACGTTGCTACCGAGCTCTGGGATGCGGGCAAGCGCAGAGGTAGAGAGCGAGCTTACTCCGTCGACTCTTCCACCGAGGAGGAGGAGGAGGACCATCACGCCCCCGTGAGTGGACCGCGAGGGGATCGCCCATGTTACTTCAAGCGTGGGAGCTTGGAGGGGGGGGGGGGGGGCGTGATAAAGGCCCCCAGAAAGTAGCAGTCAGGACACCGCCGTCGCTTGCTGGTAGTTGGTGGGTGTGCTCCGCACTGGCAGGGGTCTGCATCTGCTTCGAAATTTAGCGGCCCCGCCCTTTCAGCTCAATGTGTGCACCGGCCCTTCGAAAACCTCGCGACTCAGACAGTGCATGTCAAACGCGCATGTCTGCCTTGAATCTCTCCCCAACCTTTGGACTTTAATGTTCTGCTCTCCGTGTGTTGTCGAGCGCATGCTCGGGTGCGCTTTCTGATCTGAATCTTTTGGGATACTTGGTCCCGTCGTTTTTCTGTGCTTCAATATCTTGAGCCTGTCCTTCTTCGTGTGATGTGTTCTTATCGAACACGACCAACCTATTCGCTACCCGTCACCTTTCTGCGATTTCATTCTTCCTTTCAATGCGCGTCGTCGTGGCCTGCTCTAATCAGCCTGATGTTCCCAATATTTTCCGGTCGTGCGCTCTCACTCTCTCCCGCTCTAAATTTCGTAAAAGCCGTTTTTCAGGCCATGATCCTACACACTCACTGCCTTGGCGTCAACAACTCCAAACGCGCACTTCCGATCATCAGGTCATGGTTGCGTCTCGAGCGCGGTCCTTGTCTCAGACGTTCTGGGGGGTACACCAGGCAAGGGACGGCGGTGCTGCCAACACGACCGTTATGCAAGGGGCTCTCGCTCGACTCGAGAACGAGCTAGCCAACCTGAGGGCCGAAAACGAAAGGTGCGCAGTACTGCTGAGTGCGTTGGGTACACCTCGTCATGAATCCATCCCGGTGTCTATTGAGAATATTTCATATGCTAAGTGCGGAGAGATATCGCAATGAATGGTGATGGTACCCGCCAGGATAGGCTGGACCTAATTTTTCGGCTTACTGCAATGAGACGACAGGGTTCTCGGTCCTACGTTGCTCGACTTGTACGTACTAGGCACGGGCACGCACGCAGCAAGAGTTAATTGTGCCCCTTTGATGTTTGTTTCGTTGTCGTGTTTGGTGCTTCTCGTCGCTGGTTGGTGGCCAGCCTCCGAGCTGATTTAGGCCCTCGGGAGGTGAGCACGAGGCTGCACGTCGCTGAAATGCTTAAGGAGGTGCAGACGCCGATGCAAGACGGTGCTTCCACTTCTGCTGGACAGGTAAGCGAAAGAGGTTGTTGACTCTCCCCCAAGCAGAAACACAGTTTGTAGCTGTCGCCTACCAGTCTTGTAGCTGTTGCCTAACCGTCTTGTACGTTGAACTCGGGGTCGGTACATGTGCTTCCAGCTCGATCGGAATTGTTTTCTACTGTGAAGTACAGTACCATGCTTTTTCTGTCGAAGGTCGGCGTGCACACGGGTGCCCACGGGACGCACGCGGTGGCCGGACTGCTGTGCCGTCGTTGGAGCCACGTTTGCAACGACAACAACAACAACAACAACAACAACAACACTACCACCAACAACATCCACGTAGTGACAAACCTCGCACGCTCTCTGTCTCTGTCTGTCTGTCTGTCTGTCTCTCTCTCTCTCTCTCTCTCTCTCTCCATGCGTGTTCATCGACAGAAGCCGTATCGGCAGCCCAGCGTCGGCGTCGGCGCAGCCAATGCCGCCGCTGGGGAAACGGAGAGCCCCTTGCCCAGCACATCTCCGGAAGGGGACGGTTCTCTGCGCTCGCGGGTGGTTGGCTCGTCAAATACGATATGGGGGATGCAAGCCATCTTGGAGACCGAGGACGGCGAAGAAACAGGCCAAGATCTCGTCTGATTCTTTCTGCTGAACTATACTATCGTGGGAACTTGGACGATTTTGTTTCTGTTTTCTACACTGTTCGCTCTCTGCCTCGTGCGAAGTATCAGATATTCGGTTGTCAAATGTGTTGGAGTTGCTTATTTTCTGATCTCCACTCTAAAGCTCAAAAGGCATGGTCTGTGATCAACCAATTGGAATTCCGAAACATTCCGTATTCGTGCGTGGAGGTAGATTGGTCGAATTGTACCGGTAATGGCGGTTTAGTACATCGTAGATGGGAACCTTGAGGGACATGCTAGGAGAGACTTTGGGATACGAGTTGAGGTCCCCCCTTCGACTGGTTTTGGCCTGGCACTCCTCCTTTCTCCTCCTTTCTCCTGCTCGTCCTCTCTGATGTCGCCCCTACGATCTGTTACATGCCGTTAACAACACTCTTTTGACTCTGGAGCTCACACATCATAGGCATATATGAACAAGCCGAACCCCGCTCTTTGAGGCATTTGTAGTGTGATTATTTGCTTATTTTTCGTCCGGGTAGGGGCCACGTTTTGCACACATGTGATTGGTATCGTCCTACAGGCAGTGTGATGGACGTCATCCGACTGGTCGGGTGCGCTAATCGCGCACGACTGTCGACGTGTCCGTCTTGGTTGCGTACGTTATCCTTGTCGTTGGGTCCTGGGGTTCACAGTCGGCCTTGGATAGCTGGTGAGTGCTTTGAGTCCTCCTGGCGTTTTTGGTCCATTGATGCCGAAGGTTTCGGTGCGGATCCGAAAATTAGATTCATGTTTGATTCATTCGAGGTTGTAGTGTGTTCTCGGTTATGTTTTACGGTTTGTTTTTTGTATGAGTTGCCTTTTGTTTATGTGCGAAAATAAGAGTAGCGACGCTCAATCAACCCTCGGCTTGTAGTAGCTGGCCGTTTTCTCCTCACAACGAAGATCATGCGAGGGAATGACAAGGCGCGTCGGGAACCGAGGACAAAAGACCGGCGAGATCGCGTCAGTGTTCGCCATTTAGCTGTTACAGCAGCTGCGGTCTCCCCATGAAGTTTTTTTTGTTACCCCATGACCGGCCCATGCGTGTGAATTTATCTACCTTGTACGCGTTATCCCCATTCCCAGATTTGTTAAAGGGTCACGTTGTTTTTTGTGTGGATTGGTTGGGGTGTTGTTCCACTGCTGACGTTTTGCTCTTGATATGTTCGTTTGCCGTCGGTATTGTTTGTTTGATGTTGGTGTAAACGCCGCTTTCTAGAGTGTCACCAAACAGATATTAACACAGATCACAACAGCAGCATTCGGTTGAACTTCGTTTGAGGGTTCGTATAGCCTGCAGTCTAGTCTTCTACCGCTGTTTGTGTGCATGAAGAAGAGCAGAATATGCATGGGAACAATCGGTTCGCCGAAGCTCGCGCTGGTAGATACTTGATACAGACACATTTCCCAGAGAAGTTGCAGAATACGAGAGGTCTTCTGCATGTCCTGCATGCAGTAACGCCTGTCTTGATGCCGGTTGTTGATAGAGGCACATCGATCTTCACGGCGAAAGAAAAATGAACCAACACTCGTCATTATGTGAACCGAGGGAATCGTCCTCGACGGATGGATGTTGGGAAGATGGATGTGGAAACGTGACTTCCTCTCAGTAACTATCTACCATGTGTTTTTAGTGTACATGATGTACACCCCCCGTTTAAGAGCCGCTTTTTTTCTCTTGTTCGCAAGGCAAGATGAAAGTCTCCGTTCTGGTAAAACCCCATCGCCCCCACATGCATGCATGCGCGTACGCCGAAACCCAGTGCATGTTGTCAGTCAAAGGTGACGAAACGACGATGACATTCCACGAACGAAAAGATTTACCACCCCCGGGGTTGCAAGACATGTTTTTATTTCTTTTCACCAAGTATCATACCACCACCAATACGCGGAGCACCCACAGCGGCCGCTTTCATAGAGGGACGGGCCGTTATTCCTCGGCAACTCCAGCTGTAGTGGCGGTCCTCAACTTTGGCCAACCCTGAAGAGCAACCCCACGCAAGTCTCTACATCTTGGCCCCAACTGTAATTTGAACTGAATTGTACTTTGGCGGATGTACGGCAGGCAGTAGATTGAACATTCAATGTATAAAACTTGAGAGAGAGGTGTTCTGCACTATTCCCATGCTAAATGAGAGGTACTGCTCGCGGTCGATATGCACGTGCGTACACAGAGCGCGTTTTCTCGAGATAGTACATGTAAGCCATCATATTATGCATTTGTAGACTACTTGTGGCCTACATACATACATAGTGCTGTACTGCAGAGCTGATTTATTTGAAGTGAAGACAAAAAAATAAGAAATAAAAAATACAGTAAGAAGTGTTTGGTAAGCATCCACGCGCCTTGATCCCTGGTCTATATATTGGCCGAGAGCGCCTTGTCATCAAGAATGGCGCGGTTTTTGCATTTGGACGTCGTGGTCCTCGTCCATCTTTTCAGGAAAGGGACGGTGTCCTAGATTTCACGAGGGGTAGTATGCATGCAGCATGGGTCTCTACAGCAGAAGCAGTATAGAATAGTATAATAGTTGATTGCGAGCGTCGCGAGCGTGCCGCCGGGGCAATAACAAAATGGGGAGAAGGACGGCCCGCCGATGGCATTTACAGTATGATCTACGAACAGATTGGTTGGAAACAGGGGGAAAGAAGAAAACACAAAGATTGCCGCGTTGGTTTACAGTCGAGAGCAACCGCACCGACCCCTTGCAGGCTCATGATCACATGCATTGTGTGTGTAGGCGATCAGCCCCACGGTCGGGGCAGGCAGAACTTTTCCTTTGTGTCTGTGTTGCGCGTTTACTGGTTTCGCACAGGCGATGTCAACCGAGAAGGTTTCGTTTCATCCCTGGACGTACCTTCACTCGCCCTTGTTGCGAATGGATGAATGGATCCTGCCGGCTGCTGAGACGGTACATTACAACATGTCAACATGATTTCATGGGGGGTGGAATTCTTATTCGTGTGCCCCCTTTTGGCAACGTCTTGCAACGCGCGTTGAGACAGAGAGCACTTTGGCACAGACAGAAGGGAGGCGCGGACAAAGAGGCAGAAAGGAAACGAGGTGGAAGACAATGACGATTTTCAAAGCATTGGGCCTGTTGGCTTGCTCAGTCGCTGGCTTATCCTGCCTGCAGGTGGTTGTGGGAGGTGAGTGTCTCGGTTGACGCACTAATCAAGAGCGCCACCTTCCTCAACTTCTTCAACACCGTCGGTGCTACTTGTGTTGTAGGTACTGGTGGTGACCGTGGGACGCTCTTCACGACTTGCGCCCGTCCTAAAGAAGCGATTGGTACGGGACACCGTCACGTGTATACCACTGCCGCAACTTGTCCGCCAAAGCGAGGCAGAGCGGCGGGATGAGTAGTCTTCGAAGGATGCAGAGCGGAGCATCACAGAATCACCCCGCTCCCGATTGAGCTCAACAGCAGCAAGCAGTGTTTTGCCCCACGGGGACTTCCTTGCCTTGCCTCTGTTCGTGTCCTTTGCTAGGCGGCGTGTCGCCTCGATCTTGGGATGGGTCCCTTTGCTATTTACCTCTCTGTGTGGGTGTGCGTGCTGCTGTGTGTATGTCCTCCGTCGGTCGTCGTTTGGCGGCGAGGCGCCGCCCCCGTCCCGTCCGGACCGGCGTGCGTACACCAGCACGGGGGACTTGGTTGCGTACACCAGCTCAACAAGAGTGTTGTGTTGTAGTTGGAGGTGGACACGAAACAAAAATAACTAGGCATTCACAAGGCCTTGTAACCGAACCCTGACCCCCATCCCTACAGTCTAACCCAACTCCCAATGGATTCAATACTCCTCTGGAATCAGTTTGTATGTGAACTGGATGGTGACGTAAGATATCACCCCCCCCCCCTGGACCGATTTTTCGATGTTTCAAAACTCGTTCTCTCTCCACAGCAAGCAGAAAATAATGGCGGTGCCGCATGGGGACGTTGGACCCGTCTCGTTTGAGAGCTTTCCGAAACGCATCGGTTCGTTCATGCATCCCCTCGGCGTGGAGTAGTCGAGCTTTGAAATTCGGTCCAGGGGGGGGGTGGTATCTTGCGTCACCTATGGTCTGCGTACCTGTCCATTTGCATCGACATGGCGTGCGGCTCAGTTGCGAATTCTCTGGAAAGTGGTGGGTTGATGTGTATAACGAGCGTGCTCGCGCTTTCTGTCTCGCCGTGTACGGGATGGCCGGGTTGCTCAAGAAGTTGCTGCTGTAGGATGCATACCGCTGTCTAGTTGATAAAATAGGTGCGAGCGCGGGGGGCCTACAGATGGGACCAGCAGTTCAGAAACGACATTTCCTAAGTGGGTTTCTAAAAACATTTATTTTCAACACCGTTGAGCACAAGCACTGCTTGTATCAATAACTCAGGAAAGAGATTGGGATCCAATTCTCAACGTCATTCCTTCCAAAATTCATAATTTGTTCGCGGTGCAAATCTGACAAGTAACAAGAAACGGGTAACCCGGTTGGTGTATCGCCATTAAAGGTACACTTAGAAATCAACACGCATGCGTCCCCAGGTGCAATAGCCAGCGGCATTCAAGGCCGTCCAGTGCAACCTATGTGGCACTGGTGTACGCGGAAGGGGTCGGTTTTGTACCCAGAAATGGTCATGCCATCCCGGCGCCTGACGACTCTTAAAACCCGCAGAAAACACCGTGTACCTTACATACCCACACAGCGCACCATGCACCGCTCTCCACAGAGGGTCGAGCTTGCTCCATGCGCAAGTTAGCTCACTGTGGTGCTCATAAGTAAGCACAGAGAGGCACAGAGAGACCAAACGGGCACGACCTGCCTCGCTTCCGAGGCACAGGACACGGCGGTTTGGTTTCGCGGTTCGGTCTCGCCGCTACCTTCGGAGGAGGATGTCGGAGATTGGTATCCTCTGGAGGCAGTGCCCATCAACGAGCATTTTTGCGGGTACATGGTTGTGCGGGCATGTGCGGCACAAGTTTTTTTCTGCGGGTTTAGAGTCGTCGGGCGCCGGGATTATATGACCTTTTCTGGGTACCCCATCGACCCCTTCCGGTACACCAGTATCCAGCATCGATTCCACTCGAGGGTCAAGATCCCAGTGGGAGTTGTACGTGATGGAGGTTTCTCCAAAAGCGGGTGCGATGGCGTTTTGGCCAATCAGCTGGCTGCCTGGGAGTGCAATGCGTGTTGATTTTTTAGTGTACCCTAAAACGGTGATAGACCACCCGGGTATACCCGTCTCTGGTTACTGATCAAATCTGAACCTATTTCGTTTTTCGGGTGTGCATACCGGAAACCGAGTTATTCTCATTTTCCGACCCCATGTGGTGTGTCGATCCGCCCTGTCCCCCTTTAAGTGTGGGAAGGGGTAGTTGGCGCAAGTTCAGAGAGCCGTAGATATTATGGGCGTATTCGCATTGTCACATGATCACCTGTTCAAGTTTTCGTCAGGCTTGGGAACTGCTGTGGTTTGTCAAGTAGTGTGTAGCGGGGGTGTGGATGGATGTGCCTGTGGAAAAACATGATGAATAATATATTAAAGACTACACTGTGGAAAAACACGATGAAAAATAAATTAAAGACTACACGTGTATGGGTTGTGGTATGGATTCGAGATCGAGCATGTACAGGAACCGCTGATACCAGCAACCAGAATCTTTCGCAGTGGTTGTGTCTCGATGATTGCTGTACTTGTTCGCTCTCGACTCTATCCCACAACCACGATTTTATTTTTTTCATCGTGTTGCTCCACAGGCACATCCATCCACACCCCCGCTACACACTGCAGGTTATGTCCACGCCTTTCTTTTCTTGCGCAACAGCCTCGTCCCGCTCTCACCGGAGGAACGGGCGGAGACGTCAGTTTACAAATCTGCACACAGTTTCACGACACAACGCGGCGTGTTTTTTTTGTGGTCTTGTCCCCTCGGCGCCCGTGAACCCTCCGCCGCTGGATTTTCTTTCTTCTTTCCTTTGTTTATGGTCCTTGCGCCGACGCAGACTACACGCCCGAGGCGCTGGCTGACAAAGTTGATTGGTCGACTCTTCCCGGGGCGGAGAACCTCGAGGTCAAAGACGGTTTCAACATGTTTTCCGGTTACATCAATGTGGACGCGGAGAACGGCCGCAACATTTTCTACTGGTTCATGGAGGCCCAGGAGAACACGGAAGACGCACCCGTGGTCAGTGTTTTGTTTTGGGGGGGGTTCTGAACGCGTAGTCATTTTTGTTCGTGGTTATGGGCGTGGCCGTCACGGAGGTGATCCCACGGTAGTTTCCTCGTGCACGCCATTGCTTCAATGTTGTTGTGCGGCGCATTAGGATTTGCAGTAGTCGATGTCCATGCCCGTTCGTTACTTGGTGCTCACGGTGTCCGTCTCGCGTTTTTTTTTGTTTCTTGTTTTATCACTTTTCATCAGCGCTCACAGCTCACAGCGCTTGTGCTGAGTACGAGCTCCAATCCGTGATCACATGGTACAAGATTTCCTCTCCGCGAGGCCCCCTGTCCACCCCTCCCTCCTGCGGTGCTTGTCTTCGATTTATAATACCTTTTTTCGCCGCAAATCTCTCTCTCTCTCTCTCTCTCTCTCTCTCTCTCTCTCTCTCTCTCTCTCTCTCTCTTCTCAGATCCTTTGGACGAACGGAGGGCCGGGATGCAGCGGCATGCTTGGCCTCTTGACTGAACACGGACCTTTCCAGGTGAGCCCGCGAAAATTCAGAGTATTCAGAGTAGTATCTGTATGTCTTCGATATGTCTTCCAACAGATGGAAACCCCACGTCTTCACTGATGCTTGCTGCTAGCGACTGTTTTCTTTTTTTTTTTTCGATTCGAGCTTTTTTCCGCGTCCTCCGATTGCACGCCTTCCAAGGGATTAAAACCCCACAACTGCACAAACTTTTACCGATAATGATTTTGTTTTTCGGGGCAAGCCTTGTCATTTTCTTCGCTAAGTCACGCACTCCCATGTGTTGTGAGAGCCTTTTTGTTTTTGCTAGCCAGTTGGGCTGACTTGAATTTTCGAATGTGTTGATTTTGATTTTTGATGTTTCAACTTTATTTTTTCCTTTTCACACACCGTTGATACTCGGCCGGCGTTCAGCTTGGTGTCGTTCGTGCTTTTCCCAACGAACAAAATAAGCCTGGTGTCGTCTTGCATTCATGTGCGTGACGGGGGCAGGACAGCAGTTTGCCCAAGCAGCCTCCTATCCTTCGAGTTTGCCCAACAAAACCGATGTTGTCTTCGATGCGTGACCGGGCGGGGTAGGGCAGTTTGCCCAGGAAGGTTAGAATCCTTTGTGTTTCGCCGAAAACGGACCGAAATCGATGTTTTCGTACGTACGTACAGGTGCGTGACGGGGGCAAGACCCTGGTGGACAACGACTACTCTTGGAACAAGGTCGCCAACATGCTCTACGTGGAGATCCCCAGCGGCGTGGGCTTCAGCTACAGCGACACCGTGACAGACTACCAGGTGATGACCTGGCGCTCTCTGTAGTTGGATTTTGGTTTTGGTTCTCGCATCAAGCGCTGTTCGGCTCAATGTGGAACTGCTGTTAAGGACGACCTGTCCCTCTCTGCCGGTGCGTGTCTTTTTACTAGCATCGACCGCGCAAAGCAGCTGACCAATGAAAAGACGCCAGTCTCATAGTGCGCGGCTAAAATCGGAGTACGCTCGTAAAGGCCATGATCTGGGACCTCGTCGGGGGAGGTCGTCATGGAGGAAGCTAGGCTATTTACAGTACTTGTGCGTGTTATCACAACCCCGTGTTAGCGTTTTTCTACAGCGTATTTCTCCACAACCAGGGAGGTATCACCTCCGAAAAGGGTAGTTTTGGAAGTTTTGGAACCATCTCGTCGAGGGGTTTCCGGAGAGGTATCGGTTGGGTGTTCGCACCCTTCTAGTTGTGGAGAAATACGCTACAGCAAAAAGCTAACACGGGGGTGCGATAACACGCGCAATTACGGTATTCCATGAGTGTGCGAGGCCCATATTCTGGCCCCCGTCTACAGTACACACCTGTCGGCGTACGTGTCAGACGTATCAGCCGAGGGCACGCACATGAGGGAGGTAGTGCAGTTCTAAACGTGGTTCATGTGTACAGGTACCTCTTTTTGACGATCGTCCGCCGATTGTGTAGACGTGCCTTGCTTCCAAATCAGATCCAGCTTTTTGGAAGGTAATAATACATCGACATGAAACCGAATTTGTACCGATTTACTGAAACTATGGGAAGGGAAGAGCGTTGCTGTGGATTTCTCAACGGCAGCGAACCGTCTTTGGTTGCGCCGCTCCTCGCTCCTCACGCGCGTTCAGACCGGGGACGACAAGACCGCCGTGGACAACTACTGGCTCGTGCAGGGCTGGCTAGACCGCTTCCCTCAGTACCGAAGGTACAGGCTTCTTGTTTTTGTTTGTCGGCCATTTATGCGTACGCTTGTGCACGAAATATGCCGGCCTGATTCGCATTCGTATCTCTAAACACAAGTGAGAAAAGCACTGACTAAACGAAAAATATACAAAAACGGAATAAAATTGCATATGACTCTGCGTCGGGGTGGAAGTGGACTCCGTTGTGTCACCCAGACGGTGGGAGAATTAGCCGAGACGTCAAGGTATCACCTTTAACGACATGCTTGCGTAGTTTGCGCCAGACATAACCAATACCAACCGCCAGAACCACGGGAACGAGGGACAGATTCACACCAGGGACGGGGCCCTGCAGTCTGTAGCTCATCCATACCCAGGAGGCCAGAGGCCCCGGCATTCCATGTCTATAGATCGAATGCATCCCAAGTTGTGTTTGGAAAACTTGCTCTTGCAGGGCTGACTCGCTAGACCGCTTCCCTCCTAAAGATACACTTATTTTTTCGTTCTCTTAAGGCATGAATACAGCGCTTGCTCACGAACTTAGTAGAAAAGTACCCAGCAACTCAAGAATCAACGATAAAGAATACGAAGTAGTAATATGAAAACACACAATGTTGTCGTAGTAGACGAACACATGGTACGTGACATAATATTGATAGCATGGTCTTCGAGTAACATGTTCAGAAGATCTCTGCTGTTCTTCACTTGCCAATCCTCGACTTCTCGAAATGCCATGTCACCTAGCCTCGTAAACAAACATCACCGCGGCTAAACCGTACACCAACAACGCCTGTTGTGATTGAGGTTCAGGCGAGAATGCTGCTGTGCTTGCCTTACACGGGATTATCCACACACGCAGGTTATTGCCTGTACAAGCGTTTTCCGTTGCTCATTGGTAAGCCAGTCAAGGTTGTCACTTGATGTTGCTTGTCCGCTCTCTTGCAGCAACGACTTCCACGTCTCGTGTGTTTTCGTCTCGTTCTAAGGCTATCGCTCCTTTGCATGGGTAACCCAATGCACGTGTCCGTCCGTACCACAGACGTCTGAAAGAACCACACATATATATATGGAGTATAACTTTTGATGTTGATCATCCCCTTTGCCTTGCGCCTCTCTTGCAGCAACAGCTTCCACATATTTGTGTGTTTTTATCCCGCTTTCAGGCTGGGATCTTGGCGTATGTATCCAAATCAGCGCTATCCGTGCCAAAGAGACAGGTCTAAAAGGACCTCACACAACACCACTTTTGATGCGGCTCATCCCCTTGCCTTGCGCCTCTCTTGCGGCTACGACTTCCATATACTGGTGTGTTGTTGTCCCGCTGTGAGACTGGGATCTTTCTGCATGTGTGTCCAAACCAGCGCTGTCCGTGCCACAGAGAGAGGTCTAAAAAGAAGCTTATACAAGGCATGACTTTTCATACTGCTCATCGCCCTCTCTTGCAGCAACGACTTCCACATCTCTTCCGAGTCGTACGGCGGTCACTACATGCCCCAGCTTGCCGAGGAGATCCTCAAGAGGAACGAGAAGGTCAAGGTGGATGGGTCAGCCCCGGTCATCAAATTCTCAGGCTTCCTCGTGGGAAACCCCTACACGGATGCGCGCTCCAACCAGGTATGTACTACGCAAGGCGGCTCCGTGTTTGCACCGTGTAGTGCTTATCCATTCCGTCACGCGGACTCCGGCTTCCTTGTGGGAAACCCCTACACGGATGCGCGCTCCAACCAGGTATGCACTACGCAAGGCGGCTCCGTGTTTGTAACGTGTAGTGTTTATCTATTCCGTCACGGGGACTCCGGCTTCCTTGTGGGAAACCCCTACACGGATGCGCGCTCGAACCAGGTACTATACAAGGCGGCTCCGTGTTTATGCGTGTAGTACTAACCCATTCCGTCACGCGGACTCCGGCTTCCTTGTGGGAAACACCTACACGGACGCCAGATCCAACGAGGTACTATTCAAGGCGGCTCCGTGTTTGCAGCCATATTCGTGTACAGTAGTATAGTACTTTCTGTCATCCCGTCACGAGGACTCCGGCTTTCTTGCGATAAACCTCTACACGTACGCATAAGCGCGATCTACATCAGGTGCACAGAGGCCTCTGTGTTGGTCGGGTTCCTCACTTGGTAGTACTGTATGTACGGCCTTTCCGACACTACGAGGACAAGGCAGGCGCCTAACCGTGTCTAAATCGTCTTGACTTTCGACCGCAGTGCCTGTCGTGCGTGTCGTCCTGAATTATACCGTACAATTTCACGCCCCCCGGCTGCTTACTTGCCTCAAAATAGGTGGCGCAGTACGCCAAGTACTGGGGCGACCAGCTGCTGCCCAAGTTCGTGTACGATGACTGGCGAAAGATGTGCGTGGACGAAGACGGAGGCTATCTCTCCGGAGCCAGCAGGAGCGATGCTTGCGAGGGGTTGGAAGAGACCATGGACGGATACATTGGTGGGTGGGTGTGCCGAGGAAGAAGTTACCGTAGGATGCGCAAGATACCGCATCCCCTGGACCGATTTTCGAAGCTCGATTTCTCGGCAGGAAAGTGGTGACGTCGCCGAAAATTGAAAATTGCAGCGTTGGACCCGTCTCGTCGAGAGCTTTCCAAATATCGCTTGATATCGACATCTTCTTCGTGGAGAATCCGAACTTTTGAAAATCGGTCCAGGGGGTGTGATATCTTGTGCAACGTACGGTAACCTAGAGAAGCGATACCGGGATTGGATATTGTGCCCCCTCCATGTCCGACTCTTGATTATTTTGTTCTGTTTTTTTCTTCCAACCTTGACCATAATCGTTCTTCAACACAAATTGCGCACTCCAACGCATGCATGTAAAGTGACATGTTTTATGCTGCACTGCTTGTCAAGCTTGCATGCATTGGAGCTTTGAAACTCGGTCCGTGGGTGTGGTACATTAGGCATTCTATTCCCTTTTGTGCACATTGCTATTCTATAATTAGTCGTCGCCGTGGACGGTGTTTTTTAGGCCTTTGTGACCCTAACATCGCAAAACCCTTCCATCATTTGCGCAGCCCCACCTCAACACCAATCTTATATTCCAAACCGAGCCCCGTGGGCACGCGAAGGCTAGCTCAGCACGTTGTTCCGCTTGCTATTGCCCTTCCAGGCAACGTGAACCCGTATGCTCTGGACTACCCCATGTGCACCGGGGAGAGCGGCACTACAGTGGCGCACGCACAGCGCCTGGCCATGCGAGACCACCACCTTGTCGCCTGGATGCAGCAGCGGCAGACTGAGGAGGCTGAGGGTCGCGTGGGTTACACTCGTCCCGTTGTGGAAAGGGCTGCACCGTACGAGCCGTGCGCCGAGGACTACACCATCCCGTGAGTTGGATCTCTTGTCTTGCCATTTTTTTTTTCTCGCGTAATTGCGATTGTTTCACTCCTAGTCATGAGTGCGGAAGGGGTAAATTTTGACGCATTTGGGAGGTTCGAAGGAAAGTCGGATCGAATGTACTGGGCGGTGAGCCGGTTGTGTGTCTTGTTGATGTCGTAGTCGTCGTCGTTGCTGATCTTCTGTTCTTGTTTATGTTGTGTGGTGGTGGTTGTTGCTGTTGGTATTCATCGTCTTCATCTCATGCTCGTTCTCTTTCCGGCTTTTTCTGCTTCTCTTGAGACCTTTGCAAATGCCAAATGTTCTCTCGATAATCGTTTGTGCAACACGCCATTGCCGTGAGCTAGCAATTCCGACGCGCTTGATATCCACCACATCTACGGCTTCTGCTCCACGTCCGCCACAGGTACCTCAACCGCCCCGATGTGCAGCAGGCGTTACGCGTGAGGGAGGGGACGGTGTGGGAGCAGTGCTCGACGCAAGTGCAGTACAAGACGTCCCATATGCTGCGGCCCATGATGCCCTACTACAAGAGGCTACTGAACGACTACGATGTCTCCGTCCTCGTCTTCTCGGGGGTGAGGTTTTGGACTTTTGGAGGCGGCTTGTATGCGTCCGTGTGTTGTGTGCGTAAGTGACGTCACGCTGTTCATGGAGTTTGGTTGGTATTAGGAAAACTAAATACACACAGAAAGACTACCCGTTGGAGATATACCTACATTAGTATGTTTGACTGGTTTGGTTTAGCGAGAGAAGGGATTTTGCTCTGGATCAAGCGCAGGGAGTCCTGAGTGTCTTCGCTGTCGGAGGCTGCGACGGGAGGTTCCATCAAGTGGCGGTTTTTGTTTTCGGAAACAGGGCTAGCGATGCGATTAGGTAGTGGCGTGGATATTTTGTGGGTCATCGCCTGACTCACCTTTCCTTGCCTATATGTTTCCCAGGATGACGATGCGGTGTGCGCAACTGAGGGCACCCAGTGGTGGATCTACGACCTCGGCTATGCCGTGGACAAGGACTGCACGTGGAAGACATGGGAGGAGGGGGGACAGGTGAGCGTTGTTGCCCTCCTTAAAGGCGTCTGTTGTTGTTTCTGTTGCCGATGGTGGTATTGACAATGGGGCGTACTCGTTGTGGTTGTCGTATTTTCGGCTATCGTTCACGTGTGTGGTTGTCGCCGTCGTTGTCATCATTGCTGTTGTTGGTGTTGCCGCAAGTTTAGGTAGCGTGTGTTGATTGTATCCATCGGCCTGCAATGATACCCACAAACGGATCTATCTGTCTGTCCCTGTCGAGTCAGGCTGAACTACAATACTTCTTTTTGCGATCCACCAGCCTGCTACGGTCGTATGCCACTCTCTTCATTCAGAGCGTAGGAGGCGCAATCCTACGGCATGGTATACATTGGAGTGCAAGATTGAAGACAACAAGTAGTACAACACCCGTGCTCCCACTCTTTCCCAGAAACAACTAACACGGAAAGACCCAGCATATTTGGCATCATCCCCACCCTCAACCTCCCTCCGAACGTCCAAATTGCGCGTATATAATCTCCCGCCCGTCCCCCCATGGCATACGCTCGGCACCTGCACCGCAGGTGGCCGGCTACCACACGCGCTTCCAAGGCGCCAAGCTTTCCTTCGTCACGGTGCACTACGCGGGCCACGAGGTTCCCGCCTACCAGCCCGCGAGAGCGCTCATGCTCCTCCGGCGGTATCTAGACGGGTCGTGGTGGGGGGGGGACGCGGAGGTCGAGGGGGGGGGTACCGGTGGTGTTGCCACCCACTCGCAATTGACATCCGCGTAGTAGGCATATGCGGAGGAACAAAAGTGTAGATAGTATTCTCCGTCAACCATGGAATGAACGACATGCTTCAGGGATCGCACGTTGGGCTGGCTGGAGGTTGAAGTGGCGGAGTAAGGTGGGGGAAGACCCTGATTCCCGGAATATGCTTTGGCCTTGTTGGCCTGTTGAGTTGCGTTCCCCCATATCGCTGGTGTCTTCTTCTCCCAGCGGCATGTGTCTGTTAATTTTTTGTTCATTGCCGTTCGCTGTGCGTAGCTTAGTTGTCGCGAACAGCTGAACGTAGTTGGTTATCCCTTGAGCATGGCGTCAGTGGGCGTGCTTGGTGACTTCCGTAGAGATGTCGAGCCAACGTGAGCATAGTGTCCTCAATCTTCAACGACTTGGTGCGCTTGCGCATGCGGGTAGATCTGAACCGCTTGTTGTCCGTTCGTGTTCGCGCTGACTGGTGTGTCAGTTCTTCAGGAGCTGGGTTGCCTCTTGAGTTGGTCGCTGCAAGCGGGTTTTGTTCAAGGATTTTGGTGCAGAGGCGTTTTGTAGTCATGTATTTCCCGGCGTATCCACGGGGGGTATCGATGCGAGTTTACTTGGGCCGTTGTCGGTCGGTGATCTTTTTCAAAGTGTACATAAGGTCATTGCCTTGATTCGGTTGATGACATCGAAATTGTGAGCGGGTATCGAAACGCAAGGATGTCACAACGACTGGTGATACATGTGGTGCAAGGGACGTGAAACCTCTGGCGTGAGTGTCGCGGCCGAAAATATGTTTTAGCGAGACGCTCGTGCCACTGCTCGTGACAGCTGGGTACACCCCCAGGAGGATATCGTGCTGTTGGACTGTGGCCTATATGTTTGACAGTTTTAGCGAAGGTTGATGCCGAGGTGCGTCTTTCCAGGAGTGGTGCCTTGTGGTTTGATGCCTTATGGACGCATCAGCCTAGGGTGGCAAAGGAGGAAGAAAGGCCGTATTTGTGTTTGTAAGGTAGGTAACACAAGGAGGTTTCAAGTGTTTTGTTTTGTATCGGTGTCCCACGTTTCCTCCTGGGGTGCTTGCCATATTCGGGTTAAGCCGTCTCTTTCCCTCTTCGACCGTCAAGGCGAAGTATGCATACTCACAATTCCACTGCAAATTATTGGTTAAGAGATCCCTCGTGTGAGAGGATCGAAACCACAACCTGCTACTAGTAGGCTTGCGAGGTTAACCACTAGCGCGCACCAGGGCGACAACTTGGTGTAAATCGATGTCAGTACCATGCCTGACTGTTCCCGTCGGGTTTCGAGACTTTGCCTGGTCAAGTGTGGTGCGTTAGATCTGCGAACTCTGCCCGAAAAAAATGCATCGCACCGTCTCTCAACAAATGTTGCCACGCCATACTGACACAAGTCCGTAATACTGCGTGCGCTTTGTTGGCGCGACTAAGTCCATACCACGTGGGCCTCAGACAAAGCGTGCGCCTGGCATGACTACGGTGGATGCACTACAGCTGAATAGCACATCGCTATTGTACGGTGTTCAGCTGATGACTAAGAACTAGCTCCTTACGTGCACCAACCCTTCGACCCACACCATGTCCGCCCCATCTCAGCTCTACGACAAGCTCTGCCGTGCGACCGAGCTGCGCAAAAGCGCGAACAACGCCAGCCACCTCTACTCAAGTGTGCGCTAGATGAACTTGGCGTGTACCCCCCGAACCGAACCGCGTTCTAGTGTTTCCCTTGTGACAAGAAATGATTCATCTCCGAAGACTAAAACAAATCTCAGCAATATTCCTCGCACAAAATCGCGTTCTATTGTACTCTAAGTGTGGATGGACACAAAACATGATTTATCTCAGAGGTAGCATGAAACTCCACAAACTCCGAAGACTAAGAATACAACTCAGCATATTTCCCCGCACCTGGCTGATGCGTCCAAACCATCCCCAGATTAAAGTTGATGGAAACGCCCAACTTCACCCCCCCCGTCTTGGGAAAGAACTGGTAACAATACTCAGCTCAGACCGGCCGAATCAAGGGCGGTGCAAGAAAAACTACGGTAATACCTGAAGGGGAGCACAAGCCATACCTCAACCCTTGGAAGCCGACAACACGCGACACAATCAAACAAAACACAAAAACACTCCACGATGAGCGCAAAACCAAATCATCCCGGCCGGCAGAGACATATGGATGTATCTCGGGCCACCCGTTCACGTACATACGAAGCCAATAATTCTTTGTTCCATCGCCGTTGCTTCCCACCAAACATACCACCACCTCCGTTCTATCTTGCACGAGAGTGGACCCATGGACCTTTACCTAACAAACGAAGAGATCATAAACCCCTGACGCCCCGGTCACATCTGTCTGCCCTCCACGCACCACCCATGCTCTCTTGCTCGAGAGCTCCGCCGCATGATCAGGGTTTTCACCTCCTGCCACAGATGAACCAACGCCCAGTGATGTCAGGGTTCGTTGGGCGAGGGTAGTCGGTGGTCAGGCGAAACAGACGGCCTTCCTCATGACACTAGTGTACTGTGCTCCGACCTTGTCAACAATAGCAACACAACATCCGTCCCTGAGTTGCCAACCTCGCTGGAAAAAGGCAGAAGTCACCCTCTGCATGCCATTTTTCGTGTTAAGGGCAATCGTCTAAGCATCGACAACGTCTTTCAGCTTCTCCACGAGGCAAAGACTTGAACCACCAAAAATCTTCAGCTACTACATTCTTTTGTTTACATGCTTACACCCTAGGAACCGCAGAAGGAAGGCGGAGAAAAAACACCCGGCTGGTGCGTCCATAATTTTACCGGGAGGTGTACGGACTGACGTCCAAACAAAATGGGACGAAAAAAAAATGAAGGAATTTTCCGGTCGGCGGGCATGACTGTCCTTTAAAACTTGCAGACGCCCGTGTGCGTCACAGAAATTCCTGGTGGATTGAGACTGCATGCACTAACATGACGATAAATTTTACAGCACGCGAAAGACACCTGAAACTTCCTGCCATTTAACATATAGATTAGGCCGGCTCGCTCGAAAGCCACATATTTTTCGAGCAAGAACCAATAAAAGCCTTCCGTAGTCTGAACGATTGAGCAAAGTCTAGTGCCTAGCTGACCCCAACAATCCAACTGAGATAGTTCAGTACACATAGTTTCGCGAAAAAATTGAATCGATGGTCGATTTCTTGTAGGGATGTTGCCAAAACCGGATCTGCTGTGTACGGCGCGACCTCTCAACGGTTGGTGAAGTAGACGCGCGCGTTCTTTCCCATGTCGGACCGTACGCGGAACAGCGACTTGTCATCAGCGATTGGAGCAGCAGCACCATCAAACCTAGCAGCACCCCCGTCACCACCGCCACCAGCCGCCGTAGCAGCAGCATCGGCAACGGCAGGAGAAGAGGCAGAAGAAGCGTTCCACCACTTCCGGGTGGGCGCTTGGGGCTTGAGAGGAACGTGAGGGTCCTCCTCTTCCTCCTCGCCTTCCTCCTCCTCCTCCTCCTCTGACAATTTCGACTCGGACCCCTCCGAGATGGTGGCCTGCCGCTGCTGGTGCAGTTGCCACGGAGCCGCCGAAGTCTCGTCAGAGGACGACGAGGGCGACGGCGCTCCTTGCCCTCGCCGCCGTCGCCGCCGGTGCTGGTGGTGCCCAGAGGTAGCTGCGGGTGTTTGATGCCGCTGCTGTTTGGAATAAGGCGCCGTCGCCGCCATCGTCATCACGGAGGAGGTCGAAGAAGGGGACTTCTTGGCGGAGAGCAGCGGCCAGCTGTTGGTCCGCGTGTCGAGGTCTTGGTCGGGGTCTTGATAACCCACCTCTTCCCCCGACGTCTGTCCGCCCATTTCAGGAGTTCCGAAGAATCAAACAGAGGCTCTTAGGGGGGGTGTTGGGATGACCGAGAATGCCTGAGTTACCCGTGCGGAGTAAGTTGGTTCGTTTGTTCGTTTTGTTGGTTTTGCAGCGAAGGTGGGGGCTGATTGGCAGAAATTCTGTGGCTTTGGTATGACTCATCTGTGTAACTCTGCCGTTTCGCGTACAAATAATCATTAGCACCGTGGTTGTGAAGACACGAGACCGCATTTCGTGAAAACACGACAGTTCCAAGGAAAGGGACTAAAAACCTGCAACAGGTTCTCTCGTGCCCCCACGAAGGCCGTCTTGGACCAATAAACATCGGCAGGTTTCAGTCAGACAATACACTCTGATGCACTCTGGTTGACAATTGCGTCGTTCTACTTAGTTCGCAGGTCCACAATGGTAGGTCTTTCGTGCTCATGCGAACATACCGCACAATGCAGAAACACGAAAGAACAGTGTAGTTCCGGAGGTGAGCGGCGGCGTCGGAACCGCGTGCGATGTACACACATTCCGGGCCATCTGGGGCACACATGATATGTTTTTTGAAATTGCCTCTGCTCGTACACTCAGACATGTCTCCAGCATCAATGGCGTTCTTCGTGCTATCAGCAGACGTGAACGTCAAAACGTCGCCAGTGTCTGGCATCGGAGTAGTACGAAATCTCAAGCCCACCTTCGCGTTGTTGAGCGACTGTCGCCACTCCTTCTGCTCAACGCGGTACGCCGACCACTTCTTCTTGGCCTGGAACGACTTGCGGAACACCCACACCACCAGGGACGCCGCGACGAACATCGTGAGGATTAGAAAAACGCCCGCCAGGTCCACCAGCTTAAGGTTCTGGGACGTCGAGCTCGCGTCCTCGTAGTCCTCTAGGTAGGCACACCGGGACGTATCGAAGTACGGCTCGGCAATGTCTGCCAGCGTTCCCTCCTCTTCCAGCTCTAGCAAGGCCTGGAGGAGATGGGGACCGCGGGTGATCGTAGTGATAAGTAGGCCCATGGAGGTAGTATAGGGGAAGGTGGTTGTTCCATAGATGGGGCCCTCACCACCTAACACGAACTCAAAGCGTGCGGGCTACTCTTACCTTTGTCGTTGGAGTCAAATGTCTCTGTCGAATTATGGACGGGTATGTCGAGCGTCAAAGGCATCTGTTGATCGTTGGACAAGGCGAACCTACTAGTGTAGCTATGTCAGCGCTGACTGGGCCCGCTAGATGGGCTGGTATCACCGGCTAGGAGACGTGCAACATAGGCAGAGATCGATCGCCGCCGAGAGAAACACGGGTATGTTGAGCCCCACTGGTATCGTCGTTGCGCTAGATAGGCCAACTCACAATGTCAGCGCTGACTGTAGGATTTGGGGTCGGGGGGGAGTCGATACTGGATATTTCGGGCCTGCCGGGGGAGGGCTCTTGATCGTGCATTTCCTCGCCGAGAGAACCTGGCTATGCGCCCAAGTTGTGAAATTGACGCTTCCTACAGAGCGTCTCCACCAAGAGACACGTCCCAGCGTGCTGCCCACTAGAATGAGAGATCACGTTCCCCGAGCGTCCGTCCCAGAACTAGTGCACGTTGTAGGTTTTGCTGTAGGCGCGGCACAGATATTGTTGGCATCCTCAGCTCACTGCCGGTGCTTTCCTGTGCTTTCGAGCAGATTTTCCGTTGAACTGAGTGACGGCATCCAATCCTAACCCCAACTAATATTTACCTACATTCTTGCCCATGGCCACCCAAATCCAGGCTCTTACTAATAGTCGTGAGTGTTAAGCATCTCACGGGGAGGTCTTGATGCAGCCCATGCCCACTCAACACCCTCCTTGTTGTGGCGTACAGAATGCGCGGCCGCCAACAACCAATGTGACGTATGTGCGCAACCCTCGCTCCAAAGCTCAAATGCGAGGAGGAACCCCAACCGGGAATATTTGGTTTCTACTAGATACTGTGGGGAACGCAATTTTCACAGTTTGTGCTTCCGAACCACTCTTCCGCATCCACGCCAAAGGAATGAAATATGTGTGTGTGGGGGGGGGGGGGGGGGGGGGGTTACCCATGAAAACGCATGCAGTAGTCGTTAGACAATAGACCTCGTGTCCCAACAATTCCGGGACGGAGCGATATGGAGGGTTTTCGCCGGCCCAGGCTTCGTTTCACAAGCATGAACCAGACGCTGGTCATCATCTTTGCGTTTGCAGTGCCAATCCAGTTATGGGGTGATTGGGCATCCCGCCTAACCAGACGTTTCACATTGGGAAGGCACGACAATATTTCTTGGGAGTACCGCAAGGGACTTGGATCTTGGCGCGCTTGCGCACAACAGGCGTGACACATACTACGAACACGTCGCTCCGTGTGTGATACGCTTCCAGTATTATCTGCACAACACGCGGGCGGAAAACTTCCAGATGGAGTAGAAGTAGTTCATAAGATTTGTAATCTATATAGAGCGTCCCAAGCATCCAGTGTTCATCGGATATCCTATGAGGTGTGGGCTGTAGGGCCAGGACCCCACGCTCAGAGGATATATACTACATGAACAACCTCCATGCCCGAATAATATGGGGATTGGTGAACTTCGTTGTGAATACCAATTGTTGGTAAAGGCAGGGCATGTTTATACATGGTGGCACGTTCTCAGTTAAACGGGAGGCGCGGTTCTCTCACTCACCAATTCAAACTCGCCGAGGTAAGGCGAGTCCTTCTCCAGAACCAGTCCAACTTTCGGAGAGGGAACGGTGACAAGTGAAACGGATCACGACAGTCCAGGGAGGGAGATGGCGCCCCAACGTTTGTCGCCGGGAAAGGCAGGTTGGTAGCGGTGACAGGCTGAACAGATAACGACAGTCTGGGTGGGGGGCGGAGTTTGCAAGTAACACGCCCCATGCAATCGGTGTTTGGGCCAAAACATGAACCGCAATCCTAGCCATAAGGGGTTCCGCAGTATGGTTTGGCTGGTGCGAACACACTAACCCACTCAGAGCTTTGAGAAAGCGCACGTCACAGAAAGAACGTACACGACACTAAAAACATAGTCTACGTTTTGGATAAATGCGGAAAACACAAATAATTTATTTGTCTATCCTACCAGACAAAAAAGAGTGACGTACAACAAACATCTTGCAAAGTCGGCGAGGGTACTCATTTGTCAACTCCACTCACAGTGCTCTTTGTTGAAGGTGTCGGATAGGATGTCCAGGCCGCAGTACTCGTCGGCCACTCGGTACGCAGCGGTGACGGAGTCCACGAGGGTCACCTTGACGGTCTCGTTGTCCACCTATCGTGCGGACGGACACCGGAAGCGGCATTCAACTTTCACCGTTCGGACTTCCCACCGAGAACGGGCGGGACACGCGCGGCTTAAGATGCGAGGATCGGCGGCAACCGAACGGCATGGTCACGTAAGAACCGACGCATCGAAAAATGGCCTGACGTCCGTGAATCGCTTATTTCTCTCCCTTTTGCATGATATCGGTTCCAGTGTGCACGACGGGGGAACGTCTGCGGCGACAATGCAACGAATGGGATCAAAACGGTTACGAAACGATGCTCTGATTTGCCCCCTTGTTTCACCACTGTCGTAGCCGTGGCAGAGAAACAAATGCTTCATTTTTCCATCCGTGGGCAAGACTCTCACCAGGCCATAATCCGTCGATACCATGGTGAAATGGAATCAACCGCAAAAAAAAGATGTCTCGAACCTGTTACACACCACTCAAGTCAGTTGAGATATGCCAGGAGACGCGTGGTCAGGCCCAATACCTAGCAAAACAGTCGTTCAGGTAGCCAACAACATCCAGCAGCAGCAGCAGCAGCAGCAGCAGAAGCAGCAACAATAAGCAGCAGCGGCAGCAGGAGTCAATGGTCCCCACTCACCAACTCAAAGCATTCCTCGATCGTGTAGCACGTGACCGGAAAGTTTTCGTCTTCGCCTGAAACCCGGAGAGAACGGTAGGTCGTGGATAGTGACGTGCACTCGAGAAAACGTCGGAAAAACCGGAGAAGGAAGTAACACCTTCACCCGCTTCAAGTTTTCAAGATATACATACCCGAAAATCCGTACTTGTACCTTCATCTCAAAACATCAGGAAACGTATGGTGTGATGCAAGGACTCCCAATGCATGCGCCCAAGGATCGACATGAAAGACGTTGGTAAGTGACTACGAGGACTCTAACGCATGTACTGAGAAGCCTGACCAAGTTCACGGGAGGCTGCCGAACAAGCTAGTTCAGTCAGCCTCCGTGAAAACGACATCCTTCCGCGAAACAGAACCAATTCCACGGCATACCTCCGTAGCATTCCGCTGCCCCGTAGCAACCCATGATCTCCTCCTCGTAGAACGCTTGCAGGCCGTCCTCCTGCCGCACCGCCACCTGACAGTTTCGCCAAATTCGAAAACTGTTCTCGAAACATATCTCGCCCGTCCTCCTCTACTGCACCTTGTTCGTCTTCGCAGAAGCGAAAATCTCCGAACGAGCACCAGCCAGAACAACCACCGTTTTCGGTTTTAAACAAGCCCGGCATGACCGTGAAAAGTGACAGTACGATATCAAAATCTTCAACGCTAAACGGCGGGGATATCCGTCCCACCGCAGAAGGCGAGGGGAGCATATTCTATAGTGGTGTCGTTTTCGTTTTCGGCCGCTTGATGGCTCACCTGAGTATGTGGCACTGCTCCATTCTTTAGATCGTCCACCCCGAAAGACTGGGTAGTACGAAGAGAAAAATATCGAAACAGACAGACAGACAGACAGACAGATAAAACGACACCAACGCTCAGGGTCAATGAAAACGAGTGTCATCCTATTTGCGAAGCGGCGGACAGCAAGACCAGGTGGCTTCAATATATGATATAACTTCTATTGCTACAAGGTGAAAGCTACAACTAGAGCAAGACCCCGTCTCGAAATAATAGCATCGCATGAATCGACAGGGAATGCAGCAGAGCATAACGCGACGCATGCACGATGTGAGACAAAAAAGAATGTAACTCGTTGCACGAGCTCTACAAAAATGACAAAAGGAGTGACAGGACCGCCGCCGCCGCCGCACCAGGGCCTCCTCCTTTTCTGCAGCAAGGAATGACGCCAGCTCGGCGGTGAAGGACGCCCCGAGGATAAAGCACGCGAACATCCACCCCGACGTCAGGATATAGCTCTCGACGGTGTAGGGCTCGTGGGCCATCTGTCCCATCAGCAGGGCCCCCGTCACGTACGACGACATCGCCATGCCCTGGTTGGGTCGTCGCGAAGAACGTCGGAAAAGAGGGGGGGGGGGGGTAGTCATAGTCGTGCATGCCGTAGTTGTTAGACCATTGATCTCGCATCGCTACAAAGCCGGGACGGGGGTGGGGGGGGGCGTGGGTACTCATAGTCGTGCATGCCGTCGTCGTTAGACCACCTCGCATCCCTACAAAGCCGGGACGGAGCACGCCGGGTTCTGACCGGACTAGGCTCACATCACCAAGCGCGAAGCACCGTGAGTTATTCGGCGAGTCGCATGAAGGGTGCGCTGCATCCTGCTAAGGGTGTTCGGCATCTTGTGCTTACTTCCTTGCCTACGGATGACAGCCGCGTATGACTTATTTTATTTTCTGATGCTTTCACTTCCATAGACAGTTATGCGTTGTGTAACTGCCTCCAGGATGCTTGGCCATTTTAACACAACGTGGTGCGATCCTCCCCCTTGCGCGGAGTGAGGTTTCTCGACCCCGCACAACACGATCTAGTCGACCACCATTCATGGTTACCGCCAAAAAAAAAAACGGAGGTAAAAAAAAAAGCGGTAACCTGGTTGCCGAGTTCACGAAGCGAATTGGCTTGTTTTACAACGTCGTTGCCAAGCGACGAAAACCCAACCCCGATGGCAAACACCGGAGGGAGGAGGGGGGGGAGGGGGTGTACTCATAGTCGTGCATGCCGCAGTCGTTAGACCATTGACCTCGCATCCCTACAAAGCCGGGACGGGGGTGGGGGTACTCATAGTCGTGCATGCCGTCGTCGTTAGACCATTGACCTCGCATCCCTACAAAACCGGGACAGAGCACGCCGGGTTCTCACCGGACCAGGCTCTCACATCACCAAGCGCGAAGCGCCGTGAGGTATTCGGCGAGTCGCATGAAGGGTGTGCTGCATCCTGCTAAGGGTGTTCGGCATCTTGTGCTTACTTCCTTGCCTACGGATGACAGCTACGTATGACTTAATTTATTTTCTGGTGCTTTCACTTCCATAGACAGTTATAAGCGCCGTGTAACTGCCTCGAGGTTGCTTGACCAATTTTAACACAACGTGCGATTATCCCCTTTGCGCGGAGTGAGGGTTCTCGACCCCGCACAACACGATCTAGTCGACCACCATTCATGGTTACCGCAGAAAAAAACCGAAGGCAAACAAAAAAGCGGTAACCTGGTTGCCGAGCTCACGAAGTGATCGGCTTGTTTTACAACATCGCTGCCAAGTGACGAAAATCCAACCCCGATGGCAAACACCGGGGGGGGCGGCTTGTTTTACAACGTCGTTGCCAAGCGACGAAAACCCAACCGCGATGGCAAACATCGGGGAGGGGGGGGGGGGGTTCAATGTGGGCGTGTGGGGGAATGATGGGGGTTTGAGTATGTGTTTTCTTTGCAGTGGCCCCACATGGCAAGAAATGGTGTATCGAATATGATACTATCTCTCAAAGCTATGGACGATTATGTGCCTGGTTTTCGGGCGGCTTGCGCGGGAGAGAGGAGTAGAGAGCACCGGAAAAGGCAGGACAGCACAATAGGATTGTTGAAAGGACAAACTAGATCTAGAGGAGATCCTGGTACAGTGGGGGTCCCTCTATAGTGCGGGTTATATAGTGCGGGTGCCCGCTATAGTGCGGGTGCCCGCTATAGTGCGGGTGAAATCGCTTGGCACAAATTGGGTCCTCTATAGTGCGGGTGCCGCACTATTCGGGGCACCCCTCTATAGTGCGGGTTTTTTCGCGTGTCACATACCCGCACTATAGAGGGACCTCCACTGTATACCGAACGCGCCCCCACTTAATAAAACTCTCGGTGATTCGTTCGAGGCACGGACTGTATTCCCTGTGTGGGATACCCCAGCATTGTAGCATCGTTATCTAAGCATCTGAGAACATTCATAATTTATCTATATACTTCAAGAATTTGCACTACAAACTACTCCACGTTGTCCCGCAACTCTTACCGATGAGAGCCGGCGTTTGCTGCCCGTCGCCGTGGGCACCCCGTCCGTGAAAAGCTCGTTCTGCAGGACCCCAAAAATTCGGTGTGCAGTAGAAAGGTTTCAAAGGGTTTCCACATGATCCATCGGTGAGGCATACAATGAGCAACTCCCACGATTTTCCGCAACAAGAGTGAAATGGCCTTTATCAAGAGCTCCGGAAATCAGAACGAACGTCAGGTTCGTCCCGTCGTCGGAAAAACTTGATTGCTGCCTAGTTGCTTGCACGCCTGACACGAACTAGCAACGCGCGAGAAACCGCGTTTGTCTGAGCGCGGAAGGTGGGCGTGATTCCATACGCAACCTGACACACTTTCGACGTTTTGAGCGGACCAAGATAGCGACAAAACGCTACGTCGACAGGGGTTACCGTGACATGAGAATCCGACACGAGGTAGGCCAAAACGGGCTGGCTTGACGCATGGAGAATGTCAGACGCTGGTGAAGGTTAGCAAGAATTGCTCCCAAATGTGAACTTTCCCCATCGAAGAAACAGAGAAAGTTTGTTTCGAATACTCGGTTCAGATTTCCGCTTTCCAAAGATGATGCCATGCCGAGAAGTCTCGTACCCGCCGCGTCTGTGCTAACCTACCGTGCTCACCTTCTGCATAGGAAATCAACCCCCCCAATCGGTCTTCCTTCCTTTGTGACCCCGGCTAATGCTTCCACAAAAATGTTCCGAAAGGCGTAAAAACTGCCGCCCAGAGTAAACGGGACGATAGACGTGCGTGTATTTTTACTTTTATGAAGTTCTTCTTGAAACTCCTTCCAGTCTGCCCGCACCTTTGCGCCATCGAAGAGCCAGAGTAGCGCGAACATTACCACCGTTGTCCCGATAATGAGCATCCAGAGCGGTCGCTCGAACGGTTGGAACATTTTCCACCAGTTTACCTGAAATACGATGGAGACGTTTGCACCACACGGCGAGTTTGTGACATGTCCAAGAGAAATAGCCCGGGGCTACACTAGCCAACGGAGCTGACGTTATTCGGGCCTTAAATCGCGGGGATAATTGAGACACGCATTGTACCGCATGTTGCACAAGATATCATACGACCGGGACGGTCGTCAATGCTCGGTTAACTCTGCAGGTAACGGGGCCAAAACTTGCGGCATCGGAACCCTCTCATCGAGAGCTTTCGGAAACGAATCATTTGATTTTAGCATCCCGTTCGTCGTCGAGTCATTCATCATTCAAAACCGGCCCATGAGGTGTGATATCGTTATATCTGACTCGGAAGCAGCACGGCAAATAAGTTGCAGGAGGATCGGCTTGGAAGAAGTGTCGGCTTCGCACCTTGTCAAGAACCTCCGGTCGGTAGACGAAGGACAGCCCCGTCGCCATGAAAGGGTATGAAAACGACACAGTGTCCAGTCGGCGCTCGTTGATGGTCACCTGGAGTAAGGCAGATGATTAGTCTAGTCCAAGAACTTGAAACTTGATTGTCTGTGGCGGTAAAAAACCAAGCTCTTTCGAGTTCTGCGGTGTTGGGATACGGTTGATGTTGCTGTTGACAACAACCGGAATCATTCTTTGTCAGGTGCCTGAATACGGGCTAAGGTTAGTCGAGACTAGATACGTTGCTTGTTCACGCGAACAGACACGTTATGTGGGTGGCGGTGTCGACCCAGTCCGCCGACCACTATGATTGCTGTGGACAACAAGTTATCGACCAGTTAAAGGGATTGTTTTGGTTGTCATGTGCCCAAGTTTAGTCAAATCTTGTTGAGGTAGACAGCCGCCTTGACGACCCAAGCAGGAGAACATTCTGAAGAACGTTCCCACGGCCGGTAGCACGTCTACACAGCTGCTGCTCGCCCCTGTAGCTGGTAGCTCGCACGGCGACGTTGTCTGAATGTACTCCTGCCAATGAGAGTAGTCGCCGTCGCCATACTTGATTCGATCTACAGAGAACTTTTCAGGAGGAGCATATCTTTAGAGTGTACTACTGCTGTACCAAGATCGTGTGTGGTACAACAAAGTACGGGGGCCTCACCCACGACGCCACCATGTCGTAGGTCCCGTTCGAGACGTAGCCTATGACCTCGTCGGTGGAGATGGAAGCATTCGCCACGGATATGTTGTACGTGAAACCGAGCCGGCCAGAAAGAACCTGACGTTGTCGTCGTCGTCATTGTTGTTGTTGTTGATGGTTTCATCATCGACGCGCATCGTTGACCATTATTCCGCGAGGCCGAAAGAAGGAAACAAAGGCCGAAGGAGATTATTACAACAGCAGACATGAGATGCAAAGCGGCAAGGGGTCGGGGTGCTTTCTCCGGGCTGCGGTTTCAGAGAGGGTGGGGACAAAAACAATCACTGTCCCATAAACCGTACAATGAAGTATTTTTGTCTCATAAATGTGTAGCCGAGATTAGCCACACTTTCTTCCTTAAACCCGTGTGCTTTCTCCTTGCAAAATCTCTCGTAAACCGTAGCCGCTACGTTACGGCAACGGAAGTCAGCTTCTGACACTAGCCATGGTTTAGGTAGACATTGATAAGAAAGGGGTCGGAGGGAGTGAGCCGGAGGAGCCGGGAGGTGGTTTTCCGGCTGGAGATGGAACTCGATGTCGAGAGGATCAGTTGCATGGGCATCACAAAGAATGACAACAACAACAACAACAACAATAACAACAACAACAACGCAACACACAAAGCTAACGAATCACACAAGCACACACACCTCGAGCAAATCCAGGGCTATTCCTGTGTAGTCTCCCGTTTGATTTTCTCGCCCAGTGATGACCGCGAATGGAACCGCGGCCTCTTCGGTGATGACCTATACATTTACATGGGAATACCCATGGGGAAAAATTGACGACAATCTGAAACCGCCTACCGCATTAGCAGTACTTAGTGGAAAAGTCGAGCAGGTGCGAGACAATCATGTTGAATAATTCAAGAGAACCCAAAGGCGACGTGCTCCGGGAAACAATCACGCTACTCAGACAAACATGTCGCCCTACTCAGCATAACCACGCCCTGGCAGAGAATTGCTGTCATACACAGGCAAAGAAGAGTCATGATGAAACTGATGCTGGTTAGAACAAGGGAACACATGCAACGTGCCGGGAGACCCGATGCCTTCGAAACAAATTGACGTCTCACTCGAACTGTTGACGGATAATGGTGAGAAACACGCGTCCAACATGCCCGTAGGAACTCACGTGTTGTGGATGCATAGCAGGAGCTTACCTCCAAGTCAGTGGTTCAAGATAATGAGGAAAACCCTGACGTTTTTGAACATGCCCAGAACTTGGCAAACACAAAACGTCTATAGGAAGCCCCCTTTACCTCGAATACTGGGGGTCAAACCCACCTTGAAATCGATGTTAGGCTCACCTTGAAGTGCTGACGGCTTAAGGTGGGCCTATCGAATGGATATACGTCGCTCCCTGCGGGGAAGGTCTGGTTCTTCTGATACGGACTGATGTTCTGTCGGAGGCATGCAAAAGCGGAGGAGAACGTGCAACAGCAGTCGGGTGGAGGAACAATTCCAAAAATACTCCGGTGCATTTTCATCATCGTCAACGACAAATAAAAACATATTACAACACGAACAACACACCAGCAGCGGCCGCTGCAGCAGCAACCATGACCAAATCACAACCGCCAACGACATCGACAGCAGCAGCAGCAACAACAACAACAACCGATGCCAACATATCCCACCAAGCAATACAACTTGTTCGCATCTCAGCAACCCCGCATACCCTAACACCGCGCGCAAGATACCTCATCCTGTGCACCCGTGTGCGCGACTCGATCTCTCCACATGGAGGTTGACAATACCGACAGATGCGTCTCGGAAGATGATCAGAACAATCGGAAGGTTTCAGTGACGGCCCATTGGCGGTGCCCTGCACACTGCGCAGAAATCTTAGGCTGCGAAAACCGATCCAAGCGCATAGCTAATGTGGATGCAGGCGGTCGTCGTCCATACAGACGCTCGGGGATGTTCCACCTCCCCCCCGGTAAAGACAAGATTGAATTTTTCAGACCCGGGGTGCTCCGTGATTTAAAAGACGTTGGAGTGGAGGCGCGAACCGTTGAACAAGCCCCCGTGCGCGAAGCATGTCTTTGAATATTCTTCGCATTACAACAAGGGATACGTGTGGGAGGAGGCCAGTCCGCGAGGGCGATTACGGCGTATGAACAGGGCACCTCGAACGTGGCAAGCGTCCCGTTGGAGTCGACGAAGGTCTCCGGCTTCCAGAGCATGGTCGTCGCGAAGGTCGCGCCGAGGGAGGCGTGCGCCTGCAGGTTCAGCGCGCAGAACTCGGTGCCGTTGGTCCGCCGCCACCCGGACCCCGCCGTCCCGGCGCCGCTCGTGACGGCCGAGGTCGACTCCCGGAAGGCCACCGGGCCGGTGACCCCGACGATCTCGGTCCCGAGCGCGGCCTCCCTGATGAAGGCCCCGTCCTGCCAGAGCCCCGCCGACCTGAAGGGGCAGCTGGATAGGATCGAAGGGGGGGGGGGGGAGGGCGTGCTCCTGTTTAACATGCTTTCCCTGGATATCGTTGGCCGCGCATCCCCTAGAGGACAGAGCGGGGGGGGGGGGGGGGGGGGTTTCCACAGTCGGGGTGGCCGAG